GGAGTCAAGTTGATGACATGTTCAGGGGATGCCTCGCTTCTGATGGCAGGTAGGACCCTTTGCAATGACCCTGGCCTGACCTCCAACAGGTTACATGATGTAGTGGCTACTATTGGGTAATCAGTGGTGGGCCACAAGGTGATCTCTGATGCAACAGGAATCTTGATCTGGGGGGCAGGTGCAAGTGCATGAAATGAGGTCAACCTCATCTCAATGACCTGTGGAACCAGTCTTGGTGGCACTCATTCAAGTCTCAATGCATAGTGCCAGGCATGAGGGCTGAGGGGGACACTCCAGGAGTCAACAGCACACATCTCTGTGATCTTTGGAGCAACTGGATGTAACACAATGGGAGTCTGGGCAGGAGGGGTGGGAGGCACTGTGACAGGCTGGGAAGGGTAATAGGGAGCTGCAATGTCAGTGTAGAAAGCATAGTCTTCTGCCTCAGGGTAGACAATCAGGAGCTCATTGACAAACCAGTCCCAGCTGTCACCTCTGCTAGAGTCAAGCAAGGTCCAGAGCTCTGCATCACTGTCACTGAGGTACCTGAGTGTGACCTGAATCTTTCCTAGAGGGGATGAGCAGCCAAATACATCACACAGTCACTTGACATTATTTAGGTAGTGCAACAAGTCACATGGTTCACCTGAGCACCTTGGCACATTATGTGAACTGCAAGGGGGCAAAGACATGGTGTCTTGAGTGATAGTGTGACTTCAGTGGGACTAGGGGGATGAATGATGCAAGTGAAGGCCAATCAAAGTGAGCAGTCAGTACAGGGGCCAAGTCTGGTTGGACTGGAGTTAAGGCCAGGGGTTAGGGGTCAAGTCTGGAGGTCCAGACTTAAGACCAGCATCATGGGAAACTGGCCAGTCTCAGAGTGTGCACAGGGGGAAGCCAGTCCAGAGTTGGATCTACCTCCCTTGGTCTCAGCTTATGTGCTGTACCCTTATGCAAGCCAGGGAGAGGTCTGGGACAGGGGCCAGGGATAGCTTAAGGCTTGGCCTTAGCTATAGAGTATACTTGAGGGTAGTATGGAGTTGAGGGTAATACTTAGTTGATATTCTGACTGGAGTGCTATAAAGTATGTACATGGTTAAATATGTGAGGCCAGTCCAGAGTAATGAACATGAAGCTGGACTTGTTGATAAGCCATTAGCAAGATGATTAGCAAGAGAGGATAGCCACAGAGGCTGTGCTGAGGCTAATAGTCAAAGTCCAGGTGACCAGCATAACCAGAGTTGGACACAGGTTTTGTACAGTAAGCAAGGATCAGCAAAGGGGACTAAACTAAGTATAGCACAAACATGGGAAAACAGACTGGAGTTATGTCCAGGTGACCCAGACATGGACCTGGGAGGACTGGGGTGGAGCAGTGCAAGGCTGGGATGCTGGAGTGGACTGGAGATAGGGGTAAAATACCAGACTTGAGTTATTTAGGCTGGAGTTGGGTGTTTTAGGGCTGGAACTAGGTTTTCTAGGCTAGACTAGGACTGGACCTGACTGGAGATAGGGGCTAGGGGTCCAGACTGGACTGGGATTGAGTCTGAGAGTCATGGATGTGACAGCTCCAAAGATGTGGGGAGCAGGTATCTGCTACCTAGTATGGGGTTGTGGGCTCCAGCCTAGGGATAGGTGATCTGAAGGGGTGAGTTCAACCCAAGGGGAGTCATTCTAGCAGTAGGAGGGTGATAGGGAGTGAATGCAACCAACTCACACAAGTAGATCAACCTGTAATTGAAAAGAGTGATGGTTTAAGGGGTAGATGAGCTTCAAGCTAGCCTAGAAAGTGTTGCAACTATGCCTGTGACTCAGTGCTAGGCAGGGGAAATGGAAGGGTCATGTCAATGTCATTACTTCTGCTCTCTCTCTGTCTCTAACTTGGAGGCTTCAAAGTTGCTATTTTTCCCATTGATGATGACAGGTATATGTGTAGCTACATGCAGAGTATGTAACTATGAATCAAGTAACATCAAAAGTCAAAAGAGTGACAGGAAATGATGGGAATTAGCTGAGATTGACATAATGATGGCCATGAGGCCCATATAGCATTGGCAATCAAAAGAGTGACTAAAATAAAGAAAGTAAAAGGAAGTGCAAGTGGTCTGAAGGGAAGTGAACAAGAAGACAGTGAAAGCAACAAGAAAGCACTTACATAACCAACAGTGTGAACCTGAAGAGCAGAAGCAAGCAAGCACAGGTGGCCAGAAATTGTCACGAGTGTCAGACCTTCATTTCAATGGCCAAGGGGAGTGCCTAGAGGTAATGCGATGGCAGGGGAAGTGAGTTGACTGAAATGGATGGAGTATTGGGTGTCCAGGAGTGCAGAGGGTGTCAAAGATGCTTGAGAGGGGTTGCATTTGTGTCACATTTGTTGCAATGCCTATAGAAGCTTAGTAGACTCCCTATTGACACTATACACACACTCCTGGTGTAGGGAGATCACTCTCCCCACAATGTGTCAAAGTATGCAACTGGAGGCATTCTCCTCCAAGAAGACTCTAATGGCCAGTGGCAACCCTGTGCCTTTATCTCCCAGTCATTTAACCCTGCAGAAAGAAATCACAACATCTATGATAGAGAACTACTAGGGGTTATTCAAGGACCGAAAACCTGGAGACATTCTCCATGGATCCCCATTCCAGGTCAAGGTTTTCACTGACCACAAGAACTTGACCTACTTCAAGGCCCCCAAAAACCTGAGTCATTGCCAAGCTCATTGGCTCCTCGACCTTGCAGATTGTGATCTGCAACTTAAACATGTCCCAGGCAAAGACCTGGCTTCCCCAGATGCCCTCTCTTATTGACCTGACCATGTCCCTGACAATGATGAAGATAACATGGGGGTGACCCTCCTCCCACAAACAATGTTCATCAACCTTATCAATACCAACCTTACTCAAAAGGTTGCATCTTCCTCCATGTTGGACCCCATCATCCAAACAGCTCTTTGAGCCATTGAAAATGTTGACATGCCACTTCCATTCAAATCCCATCTCTCTGATTGGAAGTTTGACAATGGCATATTTCTCTATAAAGATCAGGTGTGCATCCTTGATGACCCCACCCTCCAACAGACTGTCATGACCAACAACCATGATCACCCCTCTGCTGGACACCCCAGTGTCTTAAAAACCCATCAGCTCATCTCTTCCAAGTTCTGGTGGCCAGGACTTGTGTCCTTTGTCAGAAAATACATTGAAGGCTGTGCTGCATGCCAACAGAATAAGGAAAACACCCATCTGATGACCCCTCCCCTTATGCCCATCCCCTTGACCTTGACCTGCTCCTTCCAACAGATCTCCTGCAATCTGGTTACTGACTTACCCCTTTCCAAAGGTTATGATTCCCTGTTGGTTGTGGTAGACCATGGGCTTACAAAGGGGGTGATTTTATTACCTATGAAGAAAACTGCCTCCACTACTGATATCACAGCCTTTTTTGTCAGGAAAGTCTACTCCTGCTTTGGGTTGTATGACAAAATCATCTCTGATCAAGGCCCTCAGTTTGCCTCAGCTTTTGCACAAGAACTTGTATCCCTCCTAGGGTACTTCCTCACTCTTTCCATGGCATACCACCCTCAGACTGATGGAGAAACAGAATGTGTTAACCAAGAGGTTGGAACTTGCCTCCACATCTTTTGCCAGAATGATCCCACTCTCTGGGTGGACAACCTTCCTATGGCAAAATTTGCACAAAATCACCATCCCCATTCTGTTACCCATCAATTGCCATTCTACCTCATGTATGGCTCTGAACTGAAACCCCTTCTATCCCTGATTGTGGACACCCACCTTCCTGCCACTGAGTCTAGACTCAAGGAACTCCAAAAAGCTAGAGAAGAAGCCCTTGCAGCTCATGATCTAGCCAGAAAAACAATGAAAGACCATTCTTCCTGACCCTTCACCCCATTTCAAAAAGGTGATAAGGTCTGGCTAGAAGCATGGAACCTAAAGCATTCCTATGAAAATAGGAAACTAGCACCAAAGAGAGAAGGACCCTTCTTAATCTCTGACATCTTCTCTCTGATCACCTATTGCCTTGTGATCCCCACACAATGGAAGATACACAACACATTCCATGCCTCCCTGTCATGACCATGCATTAACACCACATGGTTCAGCACCTGGACTGTTTCCTCTTTGGGACACTCTGTATCACCTGTTCATGCGTCCTCCATCTACCCTTCATTTGTCAACTAGGAAGTTTTACTTGAAGTTTTATGAGTCCCCATATGTCAGTTCTGATTCTCATCACTACTCTTACCCCTGTGAGGTCTCTCACCACCATACCCCTTTCACTTGTTGAGTCTGGTTCATCACTGGTCCAAAGCCTGGTTGGCAGTCAGAGGGGAGGATGAAGGTACTAGAGGGTTTGGACTATTGGACTTAGCAACTGGGTAGCAGCACTATTCCCTTGCATGGGCCATAGTCTGGTTGAGAGACAGAAACAGGAGGTGACTGGGTTAGATGAGACTAGTTTGATTTCAGACTGAGGCTAAACAGATGTTCCTATGGCTTAAATACTAAAGGTAAACTAAATGTAACATAGCACTGGGGACTGGTCACACTGGTGCAGTGGTGATTGGTAAACTGGTTGGTAAGTACAATGTTACAAAGAATATTATCAAGCAAAGTATGAATGAAAGGTTTACTGGGAACTGGGGCAGGACTAGTGACAGGACTGGGTATCATACTGGTCCGGTCTTGACTGAATGAACAACTCAATTGGGAACTGCCTTGCAGTGCCTCATGAGCTAACACATTTCTGGGTTGAAGTGTCAAGGCTGGGACTGGGACAGAGGCAGGATGAGACCAGTTGAGACTGGGGTAGAGCTGGTCTAGGGTAGTCTAGACATGGTCATGACAGTATCCCCCTCTTGGAGACAAGCCCATGAGGCTCCAATGAGGACAATGCTGAGAACAAAATTTTTGGTGTCTGACCTTGAAAACCGGTGGACTTAAGACTGGTCCACCTCAGGTTTTGTTCCCCACTACAACATGTTTATTTGCCAGTCCAGAACCCCCTATGATCAAGACCTCCTGCCTGACCTGACCCAGGCAATGAGTGAAGAGCTGCAGTTAGGCAGTGATGATGATGAGCAGGCCATCCAGGGTAAGCTGGCCAAGCACAAGAGGCATAAGGCAAAGGCTCAAGAGGAAGCCCAGTTGGAGGTGGAGAGGCAAGAACAGGCCCAGCTTGAGGAAGAAAAGGCACATGCAGAGGCTGAGGCACAGAGGGCAGAGGCTGCACACAAGGCTGAAGAGGCCAGGAAGGTGGCTGAGAGCTGGCAGGCAGATGCCCTGGTAGGTAGCTCAACTGGGACCAGGACCAATGTTGAGGCGATGAGTCCTTGGTGAGTTTTATTATGATTACCACCAGTGTTTCTGACTAGCACCCTACCAGCTTTCTTCAATGCACCTGGATCAACATGACCTGCCTGCACAACACTGACAGCAAGAAGAGGTGCATGGCATGCAACTGGTGCAATGAGCTCAAGGAGCACTGCTGGTGGTCAGTCAAAGGTGAGACCAGTCCAGGTGCCAGTCCAGTGTAGGGAATAAGTACTCCCTACTAAGGAGATTTAATTATTTTATCTTTTCTACTGTGCTTTTGCTTTGATTCACATTAGTGTTACTTAGCCTACCTTTGTGGCGCATTTTTGGTAGCTTAGTCAGCATTTTTGCACACTAGTGTAGGTCTACAGTATACACAACCCTCCAGGTGCCCCTGGACACCACAGGAGGAAGCACTTTACACAACACACACTGCTCCATGCAGATCACCCTGCAATTGTGGGAGGACTTTTGACAATGCTGAGGGGTCCTGAGGCAACAGAGCCATGTTTCCCCTATTAACATGTTGACTAGCTTCCTCTGGAACATGGCCCCCTCAAATACTTTTTGTTTGATAATGATGAGTAACAACTGTAGTATGACAAGCATTGACTCCAAAGTACTTGTGGTCCCAAAACCATCTTGAACCTCCTGTGGCAGCTCTGCATGCATGAAATATTGAAAATTAGCCATCGCATCCTTTGGTTGCTGTACCATCTTTGCCATCAATGGCTTTTGACATGAAGAGCACATCTGTATATCTGCAACATCATCTAAATGACTCATCCTGCACAGGCAAAGAATGGCCCCACAGTATTTTGCTAGATCATATGTCTGAGGAAGACATGCCACTGGTAACCAGTCATTTCTTAACACTGTAAGCATCTCTGCAGTTGGAAAAACATCAACAAGATCCCTGCATGAAACCATTTGTGCACACACAGCACACATGTCCTCTGTGAGGTGCTGCACTGACATGTTTTTTTGCCAGTCACAGATGATGTCAAGTTTCTCACTCATTGATGCTATTGGTGGATAACTATATCATTCTCCTTGTACCTCTGTTACTATTTGTTGTTGTTGCGCCTGTGTATCCCCCCTTTGAATAGCTCTGACATCTGCAAGAATGCAAAAACACACCATGGTGTTCTGCAATAGATTTGATAGCTTTCAACATCAAGTAGGGGTACTGTTCCATGAACTCATGAACAGAGCTTGCATGACAGACCAACAACAGTCCACTAGGGTACACAGACCCCACACTAAGATCACTGCACACCATAATGCACTCCAATGTATACTCTTGCTGTATAAACTCGTAACTCATAGCAGCATCATCACTGACACCAGTACACAAGTGATGCATGTCACTGTCCATGACATGTTACAAAGTATGCCTGCAAGTTGTTTGCACAACATTCCAAGGTGTGATGAACAAACCCCAACATTCCAATCTCTCCAACCCCTCCCCAGCACATGACTGGACCTAATGGTCCCATTAAGTCTGGTATGATCATGGACAACAAAGAGATTACAGACCTGGGCCTAACAGTGTCCAGGAACACAATTTTTTTAAAAAAAGAAGAACCAGACTGCAAGACAGTGACAAGTGAAGACTGCAAATGAAAGACTGTGACAAGCCCTCATTGAGGCACTCCCAGATGACCTCCAGATGCCATTACTCACTCCCTTTACTGCTCCATTCATTCTGCCCAACCAAAATCCACTCTGTCACCTCTTTTCTCAATTCCAAGCACTGAGCTCCTCTGGGTCAAACTAGACCCTTTCTATCTACCCCCAGGAGTCCCCTGCAGTCTCCTAGTTCGCTTTTTACCTAACTTACACCAGCTGGGGACAAGGGGAAGAGAAAAGCTGACATGACCTCCCCTTGTGCCAGGGAGAAGAAGAAAAGGTTGAGGTGGTCATCCACCAAAGTACTTGAGGGCACAGATGATGAGGAGGAGGATGTAGGAGAAGGACCCTTGATGAAGAAGGCCAGTGTGACAAAGGCAGCTGGTGCAGAGGTTGAGACTGGTTCAGTGTGCTCAAATGGAGTACCTGATCAAAGTGGTCAAGCATGTCACTGACAATGTGGCCAGTCTGGCAATGGTGCAGAAGGAAGTCTTGAGGAATTTCTACCAGTTCACCCAGTCCTACAAGACTTACATTGAGGAACACTTCAAGTTTCTTGCACCAGACATGCCTTCAGACTGGGACACCACCAATGAGGAAGACAGGGACATTGAGGGGCTTGAAGAGGGGCTGGAGGGGCTGAGGGAGGAAGAGGAAAGCTGGTCCCAGTCTGAGTCAGGTGACCAGACCAGTGCCAGTTCTGCTGGGTCCCAGGCCTGAAGTTATGCATGCACAGAGTAGTGTCTTTTTCTTGTACCCATGTGCTTGTGAATACCAACACCTGGTTCTGGTTCTAAGGTATGAAAGAGAATAAAATAAAAGCAGAGTAAGGGAAACAAGACATGGTAACAATGAGATAGGTGAAACAGATAAGGAGAAAAACTTGTGCCTGGTTCATGGTTATTTCTTGAAAGGACTGGCATTGTCTGGGTACTGGACTATTGCTGGATCGATGATATTTGTTTTGGCACCCAAGTTGAGGATGGTTCAGACAGTAGCATTTTCACAATCAATGAGCAAAACCAGTGATAGAAGTGATTGACATATCTTGTTCATAATCATACACTTTCTCAGTTCCTATCTTAACCTCTATTTTGTGTGATATGATAGGCTCTCTTCCTGATGCTACACCAGGAGAGCCATTCAAAAATCTGGGTAACCCTTTGGTCCCCCATTGTCTGTGGGTTTGTCATTCTCCCCACTGTACTTATCCTTGGGTTCATCCTCCTCTTCTTCTGTCATCTTATTGAATTCCTTGAGCATTGCCAGGATGTGAGTGCAGAACTTCTGGGCCAAGGAAGACCTAGTGTTTGTTGTGGACAAGGGACATTTAGACTTCATGTGTCCTGTCTTACCACATCCATAACAGGTAGGAGCTTCACTCTGTGATTGGACCTTGGACTTCCAATCAACATCCATGGCATAAGGGTCTTGGTACAGAATTTTCAGAGATGAAGAGGATTTTGATCTGTGTGAAGGCTGCTCTTTTTTCCATAAGTAAGAGTGGTCCTGGAAGGTGGCCTTTCCAGCAAAGACCTTAAGTGTAGCCATCACCATGTGTGTTGCCATTGACCTTTGGATCCATTCTTTGACTGAATCTGGCTTAGGGCCAGCCATGAGGATCCATTGGTTGACTTCTTCACTGAGTGCTTTCCTGAAGAAGACTGCTGCAGTCAAGTCTTCGGTGGAGATACTGGCCCTGTTAAGGCAGTTGCAGAAGTTGGTGATGTACTCATTGAGGGAGCGGTCTCCTTGATGGATGGTGGAAAGGTAGATCAGGGCCATGGACTTGGTGTTCCCTACCTGGAAAGTCTCCTTGAGTTTTGCAACAAACTCATCCCAGCTGTCAAAGATCCTGAGGTCACCAAGGGCAGTAGTGTTTTTGTTGATGTAGGCCTCCATGAAGGCATGGGCCGAACCACTCCCCATATAGGAGAGGGAAAATGCTATCTTGGCCTGATACTCATAGTATATGTGCTTGTTAGTGGCGAGGTAAAGCTTGATGCTGCTCAGCCAGGCAGAGAAGTCCTGGTGAGCTCCAGTGTACAAGAAGGGTTTATTCAGGCCAATTTCTTTCAGTCTGCCTCCCTTAGAGTTGCATTCCTTTCTTTTCTCCTTGGAACCTTGGGAGGGACCTTTAGGCCTTACCACATCTCTACTGAAAAGGGTCTTGTAGAACTTGGCAGCCATCTCAGGGGTTACCTTGGCCTGACCCTCAAAGGGGTCCCAAGTGTTAAGTTCTGCAGTTCACTGTGCAAGTTCTTCTGCCATTGGGTTAGTAGAAGTTGGTACGAAGATATCAGTGGACAAAGACAAGTTGGAGGGGTCTGCTGGTTTGGCTGTCCCTCTTGGTTGGGTATCAATTTCTGAGCCAATGGGCTCTGGGTTTTGGTAAGAAGTAAAGTTTACTGGAGAGGTCAATTCTGCAACTTGCCTGAGTTGGGGCCTTACTGGCAGGTCTTCAAGACCTATATGTGGGTTTGGAGTTTGCACCAAAGGGTGTTGAATATGTGGCCTCACTTGGAGGACTTCTTTTCCTTTACAAGATGGTACAGGAGGTTTGAATGAAGAGGCTGCTGATGGAGGCCTCTTACTTCCTTCTTCTTGGTGTGAAGACATGGTGACAAAGAGGAAGCTTAGTGCTGAGAGTTAGGGGCCAGCTCACTGATGTTAAACCAGTGGTTCCTGTAGGAGTGGTGGGTGGTGCTCATTTTGCAGGCTATTTTGCCTAGCAAGGATTCCAGAGCACAGGTATCCAAGAGGTAGTCTGGTCTTTGATGTGGCCAGGTGATTCAAAATCTTCTGTTATGCTGACAACTCATATTGTGTCACAAATTGAGTACTGAGGTACAAGCACATGACTGTGTGAGAAGTGATGCATAATTTAACCTCACTAGCGAATAGAGCACTAGTCTTGGCTGAGTGAAGTTGTACTGCCAAGTCTGCTTGGGTACAACAGACAGAGCTAAGTGCAGGTGCAAGGTAGATTTTGAATGAGGAGCTGGTACAATACATGTGGGTTTATATATGTATGTAGAGTACCTGTGGAACAAACATTTGAAAACATTTAAATGTCCACCCATGTACCACATAAGGCACCATTGAGCCACCCTTATGCCTGCATAAGGGTAACCAAGTCTGCAGATGGGGTTAAATGTGAGGGTGAACATGGGGAAGAGGGAATAACTGCATATATGACATAGCAGGGGTAAATGGGCAACCTGGGGTAGATGGGTTAACTGTGTCATGTGACCACATGGATCAGGGCCACCAGTGGATCACAGAAGGAAAGGCAATTGGACATAGTCTGGCTATAGTACAATGTGGGGTGAACAGGTGTCACACACCAAAGGTGTTTGGTGAGGTGGACATGGATACAGCTGATGAATGGAGATGAAGACCACAGCCCTCATGTGAAGAAGGACAGCCAGGAATGTTGGCAGTCATCCCTTGCACAAGAACAAGTCATCAGTGCCAGAGAAAAAGAAAGGGAGTGGGTTAAGCGCTGGCTAAAATTCTTAAGCACCCATGTATGGCATTCCAGTTTTCAACATATCTCCACCATTTGTGCAGATACCAAGACCATTCCCACACTTGCTTGTAGTGCTCAGCCACACAATCTTACCTTCCAAAATTGGAAAGGATTTGTGCACTCCACACGTTTCTACAGCACTCCCTCCAAAAGACACTCATTTCACTTGTCCCCTTTGCTAGGGACCATGGCTACATATATCTACCAGGAGTTCCTACCAGCTTCTGTCCTGAAGCATCCTGGTACATCCCACCCTCATCTGTGCCCTCTCAGCCCATCCAGCTTGGACAGCATGTTCTTTTTCTCAGTATGACCTCTAGGAGGATGTTCTTTGGTTGCCTCAGGTCTGTCATTCGCTTGGAAAGGTCTTATGTGGTCATTTCAGTCTCTCCAGTCCAAGAAGCATATGGATCCTTCCTCCCTGCTCCCTGCAATGTCTTCATACTGGTCTCATCCATCATTCTTCCAAGATTGTGACAGCTACAGTATAATCTACTGTTCTCCACTCTCCCTGATCACATCCATGATGAGTATGATGCACATCTTGCCTCCTTGTTGCAAGATACAGCAGAAGACACTCCCCCTTCATCCTCTCTTCCAACAGAGCCTCATTCATGAAGTTTTTATTTGCTTCCCTGAGAGGATGGTTTGGGGGGGAAAGTTGTGATCTCCTATGCTCCTGTCACCCCACAGACCCCCAAAGCTTGACCCCTGTTGACATCTGACTCACCCTGTCCACTTTTGGATGTACTATATCAGCATCAGATCAGCACTGCCTCTCTGTCATCCCACCTTGGCCTAGAAGTGATCTCTTCAAGATGTGACATGCACAGCCTCCCCCTAATGTGATTCCAGTGTGCTTTCCCAGTTCCTGACATTACTTGACTCATACTTTGACATTCTGACTGTCTTTGACTCACCTATTGCCAATACTTACCAATCATTTGACTTTGCTTACTGATTCTTCACTTTTTGGCTTGCTAATCCTTACCAATGCTTACCAATGCTTTCCAAGGTGATTACCCATTGCTTACGTTCCTTACTCATCAGTTACCAATCACTTACCAAGTGTTTGCACCTTGTTTTCCAAGGGCAACACCCCTGTACTGTATATAAATCACTGTACTTAGATGGCAAAAAAAAAAAAAAGATGTCAGAGAGCCCCTCTTGCTTGCATTTTATCATCACTCAGTAATTCATTCAGCAGCTTC